CAGGGCCTCGCTCGAGTTTAGGGTTTTTAGGTTTTTAGGGTTTTAGGGTTTTAGGGTTTTAGGGTTTTAGGGTTTTGGGGTTTTAGGGTTTTAAGGTTCCAGGGTTTTGAGGGTTTTGGGGTTTTAGGATTTTAGGGTTTTAGGGCTTCAGGGTTTTAGGGTTTCAGGGTTTTAGGGTTCGGGATTTAGGGTTTAGAGTCTAGGGAGTTTAGGTTTAAACCTTGTGTCGGTGGGGCCTTGTACTTCGGCAAGATTTCAGCATGTCTTAACTGTTTCAGGGTTTGATGGGATTTAATGCGGGCTTGTAGGGCTTTCAACATTGCATATGAGGTAGGATGTAGATTGGCCGCGCCTTTTAATGAGCGTGCTTGTAGGATTTAGTAGGCATCTTGGCAGGTATATTTGGCATGTCGTCATGGGGCCACTGAGAACTAAGGAAACACTCTATTTAACGTAACGGGCTTGCCATTGCCGTCCGGACTCGCAACATCTTATTCATACAGTTTCGGTTCGTATCCGTCGCCATTGTTGCATGTTTCAGCAACTTTGACTGTGCCAGCAGACAGGAGCTTCGGTCTTGTTTAGGCCAGCTAAGCTGTTCAAAGAGGGCTGAAGGAAATACAGTAAGCACTAAACCCTAAACCCCAAACCCTAAACCCTAAACCCTGAACCCTAAACCCTAAACCCTAACCTTTAAACCCTAAACCCTAAACCCTTGTTGTTTGGAGGGCGTGTTCGGGTGTATACCCTTAGCCCAAAGAGCTCCCTCTGAATCCTTGAAATCCGTCGGCTCCCCATTTAGGGTTTAGGGGTTAGGGTTTAGGGATTAGGGTTTAGGGTTTAGGGTTTAGGTTCAACCAAAAACGGCACACAACGCACACGAACGCAAAAACCTAAACCCAACGGCCCTGAAGCCATAAAGCCTTAAACCCCCAAACCGCAACTAAAAATCTTTAATGCCTGAAGCCCTGAATACCCTGAAGCCCCTAAACCCCCCAAAATCCTAACACCCCTGCAACCCTAAACCCTAAGACCGTAAAGCTGAGCCGCTTAAGCCCCCCGCCAAACCCACAACACCCCAAGTGGACCCCAAGAAGCACTGAGCAAAAGCAAGTGGCGACCCTAAACCCTAAACCCTAAACCCCTAAACCCTAAACCCTAAACCCTAAACCCTAAACCCGAGCAAGGTTGCGTTCCTCGGCAGCGCGCTGAAGACGCCGCCGCCGAGTCCCGGAGGTCCACCGGCCCCCGGCGCTACGGCAGAGCAGGGAGCCTTAAACTTCGGGGGTTTAGGGCTTTAGGGGATTAATTAGGGTTTAGGGTTTAGGGCTTTAGGGGATTCGGGTTTAGGGTTTAGGGTTTAGGGCTTAGGGCTGTAGAGGATTAGGGTTTAGGGCTTTAGGGGATTAGGGTTTAGGGGGGCCTTAGTTGCGGTTTAGGGTTAGGGTTTTGGGCTAGTTGAGGCGGGGAGGATTATCCTCCCCCCCCGGAACGGTTTAGCCTGTAATGCTTAAGTTTTAAAGTAGAGTGGTGTTTGCTACCAGCGAGTCTACATTCATATTACGGGTACAGGTTCGGGTTCGGGCGCGCGAATTTGGGGTAGGTAATAGCCGCCGCCGTGGGTGTTTCAGGATTTGAGGTTAGACCGGGGTTAGGGTCCTCCGTCACACCGGTTCAGGGCTGAGGGCTGGCCCTGTCTTAAGCAAGACCCCATCAACCCAAAATCCACATCATGGAAAGGTTCCTCATATGGGTAGTTCTCTAAATTAGAGCCCTTTTCTGGGTCCCCAAAATAGTACGGCACCCTTATAAAAAGGATTCCAACAGGTACCCGAATTTAGAAGACCACCCATATAGCAGGGTTCCTCAGCAGGGCCTTTTTCAGGTATGGGATATCGGAGGTTCTCGTGTTTTGCTGCAAGGCTCTGAAAATCGGACGGGTTAAGTGGGAAAGGCTGGGGTCCTCTCGGGTTTAGGGCGTACACACTTAGCCTTAGGTTGGGTGGGCCTAGTTGTAAAACTGAGCCCTCAACGGGTTCACTTAAGTTGAAAAGGTGGTTCGAGGCATCAGTTGGGAGGGATCGTTCACTCTAGAAGATTTCTGCAGTGTTGGTCGGACCCTGTACCCTGGCGACCTTTCTGCAACTAGAGTTTAGTAAGGCAGGGTGTAGGGTTTCGGTGTCGGTCAGTGACACTTCCACTCGTTGTGGTACGTCGTTCACTTTCACAGGCTATTTTCCTGGCTAGGCGGACACGCCGCGTCTCGTTCTGGTTCCATCACTATCTCGCACTGTCCCTGTGGTTCCTTACCTGTCTGGCAGCCTGTGCTGCACAACATTTTCTTGGAGCCTCAGCGTGGATGGAGGAATCCGTATGTCTGGACAACGAAATCCTTCGCTCTACATGCTGTGCTGGACTTGCTGGAGAGCCTGTTCGCATGTGAACAACTGAACAGGAACCTACCTAACACCTAACACCTTCAAACTTGCTTCAGTCCCATAGAAAAGCCAGGCGAGTGGCATAACACGTCAACATAGTCTTGTATCATGCCTATACCTCGGCAGTATCGCAGCTTAGCAAAAGGGATTGCGAAAGGGTCTTAATAGCCTCTCCAGGTTGAAACCTCAAACGACGGCGGGCAATAATCCTCACGGAGCACGGTGCTGCCTACACTCGTGATCTACGGCCGAAATGGTAGCTTCACTACCGAGTAGATTTCGTGCTGCGCAAATCTGCGGCCCCACATGATCCGTTTGCCGGGGTGCACATGCATTTTCACACTTGGTTGCATTACTTGCACCTTCAACATTGGTCAAACTTAAACCCGACCACAGGCCCGATCACCGTAAGTTTTCCCAAGCGCAAGCTTAAATCGTTACTGTACAGTTGCGCCAACACCACTGTTACGTAGCCATGAAACGTCGATTTCATCCTCACCCTTGTGCAAAGCTTTAAGCCTTAGACCAATGCCTCATGCCACAATATGGGTAGTTATCTAAATTAGGGTCCTTTTTAGGGCCATGATTATAAGGGTGCCGTACTACATTGGCGATCCAAAAAGGGACCCTAATTTAGAGAGCTACCCATATCGAAACACCCAGGTTCGTGGTCGTTACCAGGCCGACAGAGCTAGATGCCGCAGAAGCTGAGCGCCTGGTGCCTTGGGCGATCCTTGAAGGGTCTACGGTTTAGGGCTTTAGGTTTAAAGTTTAGGCTTGCAAAGGGGTGAGTCGGTTTAGGGTTTAAAGGGTTTGGGGTCTAGGGCTTTAGGTTTAAAGTTTATGCTTGTGTGTGCGTGTGTGTTGTTTAGGGTTTAGGGTTCAGGGCTTAAGGTTTAAAAGTTTACAGTTTAGGCTTGTGTGTGTGTGTGTGTGTGTTGTTTGTTGTTTGGAAAGGTTCAATCAGCATCTGCTCACGGTTCAAGACTCACGACGGTTTCGGGCTTGTGCCGAAAGGTGTGTGGGCGGAGACAAGTTGTGACATCGAATGTGCCATCTAAGAGCGACGAATTACGTGCGCAGGCCTTGCCACGCCTAGTACACCACTTGGCCCAACTCAACAAACAGCAGGCATGCCAACCACGTTCTTGCCCCAAAACCCTAAACCCTAAACCCTAAACCCTAAACCCTAAACCCTCAACCGTGGAAGGGATGCTGTCTCTGGGCTCCTTTTGCCGGCCCTTGGTCCCCTCTTCCGCACATCTTCTGCGCCTCTGAATGCCTTGGTGGGCCTCACCACCACATGAATTTTCCAGCCCACCTGCCAAGCATTGTCCTTTATGTTATTTTGGGGTGTGCAACATGGGGATTTGAATAATGACCAGTAACTATTTTGGGGCTCCTGGTTATATTTATGGTGTAATATATCCCCAAACCCTTTGCTGATTCTTACGGCCCTTGTATGAGGGTCCGGGTTTCGGGTCTACCTGGTCGGGTTTCGGCGGCTGTTTCTGTGAAGCGCTCCAGGTGCGCGAGCTGAAGTCGCAGGGCATCTGCTGCCGAAGGTGGGGTTCCCACGATGTGGAGGGTTTCGGGATCATATGGTTTCTCAGGTTTTCAGGCTTCCATGAAGGGTTGCTCCAGGCGTTTCTGCCAGGGTTCTAGCAGGCGTAGAGGCTTTCGAGGTCCCTTGCCGGGGGGTTACCCTACACCCTAGAGAATGATTCTGTAGGTAATATATAGGGGCCCGAATAATTACCAATACTATGTTGGGGGGGTTCCTTATTCTTCTTACAGAAAAGTATACCACAAAACCCTATTCTGAT